CTGTTTTATACGTCGATTTGTGCAAACAATCGACCGTGCTCGTTTACGCGCCACATTTTTATAATAAAAAACCCGTTAAAACTCGGTATTAACAATTAATATTTGATTCAAAAATTATCAGTAACTGGCTGTTTACCTTTTCAAAAAGCGTGTGTATAATTTTATAAATTATACTGTATTGCAAATAATGGGCTTTTGAATGATATACGGCTACAAATAATGCTGCATTTGTGCGATTACGAATTTATTTATTTATACAGCTATTAGCCCTAGCAACAAGACGTTTTCCACTTGACAACGCGTGCGTTCGAGTGTTGCAATAATCATGTGCTCGTGACGTCATTAAACACTCAACCTGAATCCGCAGTAAACAATTGGTTTTTTAGCCCGGGCTGAAATTATTTGTGAATTACATGGGATATTTCATCCCGGTTGACAGGGCTGAAAATGTCATCCCGGGATGACATAAACCGGGATGAAAATGTCAACCCGGGGGGCTGAATTCAGCCTGGGTGGAAATTGTTTCCATGTAATCATAAAATTTATTTTATATTGAATTTATAGGGGCCCCAGACTGAAATTTTATCCCGGGCTGAAAACCTCCATGTAATCGGCCCCTAAGTTAGTGTGTAACCTCCATTAACCAATATGGCCACAAATATAACAAAGCAGGTTATGATAAAGATTTAATTCTTCAATTTTGTGCTAAAAATTTACACATTGAGAGTACTATCAGAACATGCTCACTAAGCATATATACAGGCTAGCTAGTGTGTGTAAAATATTTTGATTACTATATATCATATGTATAACAGTAAATAATTATATTATATTAAATGTTAATATAGTTGAAAGTTAATGTTTTTAGTTAGTTATTTCGATCTTTTTCCTTTTGAGGATCTAATTTCCTCAATTTGTTTTGGCATGCTCCCAATTTTTTGTCAATGGTCGTGATTTTAAATTTGTTGAGACAACGCGGGATATGCATTTTGAAAGAATCAAAGGATTCTTTAGTGGTATTCTATTCTATGCAGTATTTTTTCACCAAATGAAACATGTTAATACTGGTGAATGTGGTGAATACACTGAAGATCGCACTAAAGCTGACATGACTTTTTTGCTTATTTGGCAGGGATCATTTTCTGTGACAAACAAGGTCCTGCTTTTCCACAACACAAATTAAAATTATTTTGGATAAATACTGTGAAAAAATCACCATTCATGTTATCATGAATGGCAAGCCCTTCCCCTTTCTTTTGGTTGAATTGCT